TTTAATGTAATAAATAAAAAATAGCTATTGATGTTGATAGAATATTTTCTTTTTTTGAAAGAAAGTTTAGGAAAAAAACATTAAAGTTTACATTTTCCTAAGAAATTATCGTCCCCGCCATAAAATCTGTCAAATATTTCACCTCATTGTAAAGTGGCGCCGCCCTGGTGGCAGAAATACGGAAAACGGTTTTCGCCGTGGTCGATCAGCTGGTAATCTTTTGGTCTACCTAACTCATAGATGGGCGGAGGCAGTAGAGTCTAAGGGCGAGGCATTGGCCGTTAGTTTGGACATTGCGAGGGCCTTCGATCGGGTTTGGCACAAATCACTTCTTTCGAAGCTCCCTTCCTATGCGCTTCCCGAGAAATTATGCGATTGAATCACCAGCTTTCTTGCAGATCGGAGCATCAAGGTCGTTGTAGACGGTGCAAGCTCCGATTACAAGCCTATTAATGCTGGTGTTCCACAAGGCAGCGTGCTATCGCCAACGCTGTTTCTTCTGCATATCAATGATATTGTTACGAGCTTGAGGTTCGTGACAATAAAAATTGCCGATAAAATTACCTAAATTAACACTTTAATTTACTTTACACAAATTAAAGTTAAAAACACTAATAATTAAACACACTTATTCACTTTATTCCGCTCCGAAGCTTCGCTTGTTTCGCCAAATCAACACTACCCCGATCGCATCTTGCAGCGCCTATTTATATAATTAGCAAAGAAGCGTCCCGAACATTCAAGTAAATGCGCGCCAGGCAACGAGTATTCGAGTGTAGATTTTCCAGAAACTTAGTTCTTCGGGTGGCGCTGTCGGTCGAGTGATTTGTGATGTCATTTTCTCAATGCTCCCCTCGCTCTCGTTCCTGACACTAGATGGCGCTAGTGTATCGTCGACTTGAGCGCGTAACAATCCCCCCTCCTAAGACATGCTCGTCCCGAGCATTATCGGCCTCATAATAACGCGCCAAGCGATCCACATGGACGATCTTAGGAGTCCCTCTTGCGCCTTTCTGTAACGGCTCCGCAATGTCAAGGGCTGTTCTATCCCGTGGTGCACCAACATTGTACAATTTCGGTGCTCCTCTACTACGTATCTGAGGTCCCCGCACGGCCGCACAACTTGTACATGTACGACACCAATCCTCGACATCGTCACGATAATGGACCCAGTAAAACTGCTCTCGGACCTTCAGTAGAGTTCGTTTAACTCCCAGATGGACTCTTGAACGACCATTATGGCACAGCTGTAGAACATTCGGCACTTTAGCTTTAGGGACAACCATTTGCAAACGACAGCTGTCCCTTCGACCATTGTCCCATTTACGGCACAGGACTCCATCCTGAATCAGCAAGCTGTCCCATTGGGCCCAATAGCTTTTCGTGGTTGAACTCATCGCTGAGACGTCCCTCCACTTAGGCTTGGTAGCACGGGCCTTCATCCATCCCAGAATCGGCTTGATGTCCGGATCTTCCTGCTGTGCATGTCGTAGGCTGTCCTTCCACCCGTTGCTGAGGTGGTCTGTCCTGAGCATCCTCACGGATACCACTTCCTTACTCTCTTGCCTACTACAATGGTTGCAATCTTCAGGACAAGGTCTTCTTGTCAATGCATCTGCGTTGCCGTGAGATTTCCCGCTGCAGTGTCTGATAGTAAAGTCGTATTCCTGCTGCTGCTGGGCGGTGCTGTTAGCCGCACTTCTTTTCTGAGACCGTTCACCTTCCCTTCCTAGAGTGTGCTTAGGGCAGCTGGACCGAAGATGGCCCCTTTCCCCACAGCCATAGCACCTAGGGCTGTATCTTTTATTGTGGTCGCGAACCGTAACTCTGCTGTAACCTCCCTAGCGTGAGGTGAACGATGATCCTGTCGCCGCCAGGCAGTGCCGTTAGCTGTACTACCCTCTCGAGATCGATCAACTCTCCTTTCCACGGTTAGTTTAGGGCAGCTGGATCGAAGATGGCCCTTTTCCCCACAGCCATAGCACCTAGGGCTGTATCCTTTGCTGCGGTCACGGACTGTAGCTGCTGCAACCTCCCTGACGCGATGGGAACGATGATCCTGCCGCACGGCTTCCACCTCCAGTGCATGGGCCAAGGCGTTCTTAAGCGTCTCGTGGTGCCCGAGCCTCACAGCAGCTCTGACTTCCAGGTCACGGATGCCGTCGATGAATGTCTGCACCAGGTTCCCTTCAATGAGCGCAGGTACAGACCGGTATGCTTTTCGCACCAGCTTCTCCACCTCTAGAGCCCACTGCTGCAGGTTTTCGTTGATGCGCTGCACGCGATCTTTAAGCTGCGCACGAAAGACGTGTTCCAGGTGAGCGTCGCCATATCTCACCTCCAATGCCTCAAGGAGTTGCTCATAAGTCACTTCCTCACCGAGAGCTTCCAGAACTGTTAAGGCCTGGTCGCGCAGGCCTAGTGTGAGAGCAGTCATGGCCTGACTTTTATTCCAGCCGTTCGCCTTCATAACAGCCTCGAACTGGATTTTGTAGGCTGACCAGGAAGAAGTCCCGTCGAATGGTGGCACCTTGAACCCACGTAGCGAAGGTGTAGTAGCTACTACGGGAGCTTAGTTCCATCCCCCAGTTTGAGGTCGTCCAGCGTTTTCTTCACGTCAGCCATCACGTAATCAACCCGATTGTTTACTTGGTCGATTTGGGTTTTAGCTTCCTTGATTTGGGTTTCAGCTTCCGACAGGCGGTTGTCATGTTGAGCAACCCTATCCTTCACCTCCCTAATCTCTTTCCCGAAGTTAGCGTGAATGTCCTTCACGAGGAGCATCTGCTCTTCCTGTCGGCGGGCCTGTTCCTCCTGCTGCTCTTTCAACCAACGGGCCTGTTCCTCCTGTCGACGGGCCTGTTCCTCCTGTCGGCGAGCCTGTTCCTGCAGCATCACCATCAGAGCACCTAAATCGGGTGCTGCAGATGTAGGAGCTACTGACGGGCCTGCAGCCGGCGGCTGGCCCTCCGACGTCTGCGGCGTTGCACCACCAAATCTTCTTTGGTCCGTCTCCTGCTGGCGTTGATTTCGGGTACGGACACCCTCCGTTTCCTCCTTAGGTAAAATCGGCATGATTTTATCCCACTTCTGACACCAATTGTTACGAGCTTGAGGTTCGTGACAATAAAAATTGCCGATAAAATTACCTAAATTAACACTTTAATTTACTTTACACAAATTAAAGTTAAAAACACTAATAATTAAACACACTTATTCACTTTATTCCGCTCCGAAGCTTCGCTTGTTTCGCCAAATCAACACTACCCCGATCGCATCTTGCAGCGCCTATTTATATAATTAGCAAAGAAGCGTCCCGAACATTCAAGTAAATGCGCGCCAGGCAACGAGTATTCGAGTGTAGATTTTCCAGAAACTTAGTTCTTCGGGTGGCGCTGTCGGTCGAGTGATTTGTGATGTCATTTTCTCAATGCTCCCCTCGCTCTCGTTCCTGACACTAGATGGCGCTAGTGTATCGTCGACTTGAGCGCGTAACAATATGTAACAAACCCGTAACATTCATTGCTATGCAGATAACAGCACTGGTGATGCTCTGTACACCGACCGTGCCAATATTTCTCGGGAAAACGTCTCCGAGTACCGGGACAAACTTGTGTCTGAAGTCATCTTTGCTGAACAGTCTCGGATTGGGGGCAACTAAATCTAGTCCAGTTTAACCCCCAGAAGACACAAGTTTGCGCGTTAACCGCTAAAAAGAACCCCTTTGTCGTATCCCAGTTTCAAGGCACTAACCTTGTTGCCTCAGCCAGTATCGGTAACCTCGGCGTCGACATATCGAGTGACGTGCAGTTTCGTGGTCACTTGAAAGAGAAGGCCAATTTGGCCTCTAAAAAGCTTGGCAGCCTCAGCAGAGCGGGACAGTATTTCATGCCGGCACACCGCCTGCAACTTTACAAGGCGCAGGTTCGGCTGCACATGGAATACTCTTCCCATCACTGGGCTGGGGCTCCGCTCTACCAGCTCCTTCCACTTGACCGCATCCAGCGCAGAGCGGCTCGAGTCGTCGACGACCGAGTGCTTTCCGATCGGCTCGATTCACCGGCGCTGCGAAGAAGATGTTGCATCTCTTTGCATTTTCTTTCGCATATACCATGGGGAGTACTCTGAGGAATTGTTCGGATTAATCCCAGCGGCCAAATTTCGTGAACGCACTACGCGGCAAAGGTCCCGATACCATCCACACCATCTGGATGCTTGGCGGTCCACCACAGTACGTTTCAAAAGGAGTTTTCTTCCGCGTACAACCTCTCTGTGGAATAGTTTACCACCGACGATTTTTCCGGACCGATACGACCTGGGGACCTTCAAGAAAAGAGCTTACTCCTTTCTAAAGGGCCGGCAACGCACCTGCAATTCCCCTGGTGTTGCGGTTGATCTTGGGCGGCGGTAGTCACTTATAATAGGATCTAACAGACACACCGAACTAAGAGAAATTCATAAACAAAGAACTAAATTTTATTAGGTTTTATGAAAATTTACACTATATAACCAAAAAATGCAAGCCGTGTGTAATACGGCCCGCTACAGAAAACCGGAAGCCGGTTGGCCAACTCAGCATTTTGTGTGGCCACTGGAACTCCCCGCATTTCTATACTGTACGTCACAGCTAGGCGTGAACAATAAACTTGAGCTTCTTCAGGCTGCCACTAGTGAAAGATCACGTCTGAGATCTATTTGTCATCACTGGTACGCACTGGTTGTACTCTCTTTTCTTGTTTAAAAAGCAACTAACAAAGCCCAACGGATCAGTGAGCTGAATTAACTGTAGTCCGGACAAACAGCTCGAAGAACTGACCACCGATAGGGAAGAAAGGTTCTCAAGTGGTAATCTCGTACCAGTAAGTGTAGGGCGGTTACCAATTAGATGAAATGGTGGTATGAATGAAGGTAGTAATCCTTGCCAGTAGACTGTAGATGATAAAATGCAGTTCGTGTTGTACTCATAGCTTGTTTTTATTTATTTTTTCTTTCTTTTTCAGAGCACTCAAAGCAATGATGTTCGGACAACCTGTTGTTATAGACTGCTCATATGAACAGCACATGGTATGGAGAGAAGCTTTAAATGCTGCCAAACAAATGACGTTTGTTTTCGGAGACAATAGAATTCATAAGGACCCATTTAATATTCATATGTGCAATGTAAACCAAGAAGGCGAATTTATGAAACAGCTGCGAAAAAATATTCCATCATTGGATGAGCCTTGGTTTCCGCTAAATATTCACACTAAAAGTTATTTAGACATATTTCCAAAGGAGAAATTAATATATCTAACGCCTCATTGCCGTGAGGAATTAACAAATTTTGACCATGACGCTATTTATATAATTGGATGTATGGTTGACAAGGTATGAGAATTTCTAAGTTATATTTAATGCAATGTAATATGTATCAAATTTATAAATCAATTTCTTTTGTTTTAGATAAACAATGAACCTCTCTCATTAGCAAAAGCTAAACGGGATGGAGTCAAAATGGCTAAATTACCTTTAGATCGGTATTTGGAATGGGGACCCGGTTCAAAGAAAAATTTAAATATAAACCATATGGTTCCCATTCTTTTGGACTTAAAATTGACGGGTGATTGGGAATTTTCATTACAGCATATTCCAAGAAGAAAGCTAATGGAGACCAAAGTAATGGCTATGCAAAAAAAGCTACAGAATAGCCCTCTAGCCCAAGAACAAGTCTTTAAAAATTTGAAATTCAATAGACAGTCATTTAGAGAAAAAAGATTTAAAACTAAACAAACATTATATGATGATGAAAATATATAGAAATTAAATACTCAAATAATTTGTATTTTTAATTCATGTTGTTACATAGTAATAATAGAACATTATTTTGTATATCATCTTTTTCCAAAATTTCATTTCCTAAATAATAAAACGATTAACCTACATTTGTACATTATCGAATTAGTCTCCGATCATTATAAACAAATTTAGGTACCTATGTACAACACTGATCATTTTCTTAAAATAACTAACGATTGACTTTGTTATGATTAGCAATCTCCAATTATATTGCATGGTAAAATTGTCTCATATATGTATACTTGCCTACAATAAAATTGCATACAGTCATAACTTTGTCAAACATGCTTTGCATATTTTTAGATTCTTATTTCAAATCTTATACATATAAAAATTACAAAATATTATTGTGTAAAATGAATAGAACATAAAATACGCTCCTACTCTGAAATATTCTTACTCTAATTAACAAATTCCAAAAGTGGACATAAAGTATTATTATAATATATACATGCATGTGGTCTGCATTAAGGGAACAAGCAAAATTTCAGATTAATAGAAACAAAACTTCTAAAGTATTGAAGAGTTGACCAATCAACTTTTCTTTCTGAAGTTAAGAATATAGTAAATGCGAAAAATCGATGGCTAATTCTACAATTTAGAACTGTTAGTATATTAAACAACAACAAGTAACATTAAATTTATTTCTGTTATGTTAGTCTTATACACTGGTACACGGATTTTACGTTTTGCGTTATCCTTTACCGGATTGCAAGCACAATATAGATGATCCAAATGGTAAGGTTAAGACGGTGGGAGTGTACGCATGTCGACATCAGCAGTTGTTTCAGAACGCTGTTTGATAGTGGCAAGTATCTCTTGCAGGTTTGAGGGTAGCGCGATATCAGCTAGTGGTACCACGTTGGGCGGCGTCATCGGACGCGACGGAGAATACGCTTCGTCCTAAACATTGAAAGGCTGCATTATGAATAGGTCTTTACTAACTTTTTATTAAAAATAAAGAATGATATAAATTACAATTTAAACTTAACAGAATTGTCAAATATTGCAAAAACATTTCAAAATAAAATTATAATTAAAAAAAGGATGCCATACATAAAAGCCTTTAAATATAATATGTAACAGCTATAAATTGTGTTTATTTAAAAAATGTTAATATAATAAATTGCATGATATAGATTTACACAAAACATAATATTTTGTTTTGATATATGAATAGATAAACAATAAACGGAATGAAGGATTTCATAAAAATGGCCATGAAGGATTTATAAAATATTAGGTGGGTTAAAAGAAACAGTTGTCGCCTGTATTATTTTCGCGCAGCAGCAACTAATACACCTGTTGTAACTTTCACAGATTAAATTAAATTCATATTGTAAAAAACTTTATAAGTGGTAGTCACGCTGCAGCTGTTATTGTTGTAGCACGAAAGGGTCGGCTCGACCGGCGAAGGACCACGCTCTCATAGAATAGCAGCGTAATGCTGCTGTGTTTCGTATGGTAAGTGTAGAGACCGGAGACCCGTTTTACTGGAATTGAGGCATTCCATCTTAGTCCTCGCGGGTGACAACGCATCTGCATTTTGATTCTTAATCAAGGTTAAATGTAGATGTGTCTATGGCCCACAGCATCCACTTACCATCACATTACCATCAGTTGGATTGTGTGCTCGTTTGTCACCCTAATTCTATAAAAAAAACCTCTACATTTAAATGAAAAAATATGGAGTTTTTAAGGATTTATAAAGGAAGTACCTCTCCTCCTATAGATGAATCTGCCTGGGCCATTTTAAGTATTTGTTGCTTTTGCTCTTCAATTTGTCTGTTGAGCTCTTCCATCTTGCCGCGTAAAGTATTAGAGGCGGGCGCGGAACCGCTGCTTGTTGAAGAACCCGGGCTATATGCTTCATCCTCTTCGGCAGAAGCTGAAGTTTTAAAATAAATAATGAAAATAAAATATCTACGAGTCGAAGTACGAAGTTTGCAAATAACAATGTTGAATTAACATTATTTATTGATTCGTTCGTTTCTACAATTTGTATAAAAGTAAACCAGAGGTTAGGTTAGTCTGATCGCGATTAGCGATCGTATCGCCAATGAATGCAGGAATTTAAATTATAATCAGCGCGCTGATAAACCACGTTTGGGTATGGTCTGCTCCAGTGTGAGGCCACGATTTTCCCAAGTCGACATTTAACACGATTTAGAAGATGAATTACTCTTACGCAGTCATTTAAATGATTTACGTTATTTATCAGAATATATTTATTAACCATTGCACTGTCGGTTTGGTATTATGTATTGACGTGGTGATTACTATACTATTTAAAATAAAAGTAGAACACGTGTATCTTAAAGACTATACACGCATTATCAGCTGTAAGTAAAATAAAAACTTAATTGAATATTTTATAAGTGCTAGGTAAAGACAAATTATTCAAATTGATTAATTAAAAGCCTAAGCCTTTGAACGGTGTTACCAACCTAAAGAGGCAGCAATTTTGTCCTTAACAGAAGTAGAAAGTGCGGGCGACGTGTAAGTAGGCAGAGGCAAGGGCGCTCGTCGTTTCGGTGATGCAGGTGGCGTATAAGAGCCCATAGTTCCAATCGGCGGCGTAAAGGATCGCTTACGGGATTCGCGTACCACCTGCCAAATTGTAACCTTGCTACATAACACGCTTACATACCATATATTGTCATTTTACTTAATAATCATTCATTGAAACATGAATTTGTATTAATTATTACAATTAACGAAGTACTTATTCAAGCAGTAAATAGCAATACTTATGTAAGTCTAAGGATTCATTTATTTAGATTTTAAAAAGGCTCGCTTACTTCTACATTTTGTAGACCACAAAAGAACAACATAAATTAATTAATAAATTTAGAATGGCTAGGTTGAGGTGCTTTGGGAGATTAAAATGCAACTATTATGTAATTTAAGGATAAATTATTTTCTGTATTCCAATATTTGAGCGGTCGTATGGTGGGAGGAATTCCAGTTAGAATCAACAATAAATTAAAACTTCAGGACTACAGATGTACAATCATTTTATTAAACGGCTTGTACTTCAAAACAGTTATAATGTTAAGTTTTCTATTCAAAACAAACTTACATATTAAACTTTTTTCATAGTTTAGAAATGAGCGAAGGAGAGGGAAATGGGATAAAGGAATGAGGGTTTGCTTTAATTTTATGAACAAAATAAAACCTCTTGATATGTTTACTTATCTCACTAATCCTAATAATGTTTTAACAAAAAATAATACAAAACTTATTACTTTATAATAGTAAATTTACAATATAATGCTTCAAAAATATCTACGTAAAATAAACATATATATAACAAAATACCTTTATTTACCTTAAAACTACAATCTGTTTTATAAATACTTAATTGCGTTTTTATACACTTGTTTATTGGTATAAAGCTCTTTTTAAAGCTAAATCATGCAACCCTATAAATAAAAATGGCAATGGTTCTTAAATTATTGCAAATCAACATAAAACTGGTTTGCACTTTTTTATTTACAGTTTTAATTTTAAAGAGTAATAATTCTATATTCCACTCGACCTCAACTAACCTTTTCAGGAATAATTTCTTTCGGAATATTGGTACTCAATCTTTTTCTTCTCTGTCGAATAATGATTGCTATAAGTAGATGTGTTTTTACTTCTAAGCCCGGACCTTCAAGGGGGAGGAGGACATGAGGCAAAGAAGTATTAGCTGACAGGGGCACTATGTAGAAATCTTTTACAGTCGCAGTGTTGGATACTTTCACGACACCCAGTCTGTAATGTTAAATAGCCAATTAGACATAACTCGTCTTATCAAACATGGTTTGTTGATAGTCTCGGGTTTCAACTATGGATAAAGAAGATTTTGTAACTAATTAAATCTCTTTCCCTTAACTGTTGTGCCAGTATTAGCGAGTATCGACAGTGGCTGACAAATTCCATACTTTACATCTTTATTGAAATGGATTCTAGTTCAAACCTGAGACTAAATATAAATTAAAGGTAGAACACAATTAAAAAACTTAACATAACAAGATTTAACCGTAACAAACCTATGGCGACTACTCAGGTAACTGTACAGAGCAATGTATTGCATTTTTTCTTCATCGTTGGCAGCTTGTAATCGTAAAATGACAATGTCCTTATTGCCTGCCCTTTTCATTTTTCCTATATAATCCCAAACTGTATCCGGATTTATTCTGCCAACTATATCTAATTCTGCAGTAAGGTCCTCTTCTAAGTCTACAGCATTTCCTGAAACCTAATAACATTTTTATTAGTACAAATAAGGCTAACTTTTACAACCAATGATAACATAAACATAGAAGAGTATGAAATACCTCATGGGCTGCAACATAAAATCTGGCAACATCAACCATGTTAATACAACCATTCCATACTATTGGTGTTGAGTTATCTACAGTGCTGGTTGGTTCCTGATCACTCTCTACTTCTGTAACATAATTACAAAACAAAAATTAAATAGCTTGTTTGATCACGTTCATACAAAAGTTGTGAAATAATAATAATGTGACCATGTTTGAGGTTGCTTATTGTATTGGATATTTAACCTCTGGCAAATTATATATTACATGGTTACTGTGGGAGGATACAAAATCCATTCACCTGATATTTTATCCTGTTTTCCTAAATATTTTTCTGTTTCTATCACATTGTTGTCAATTGAAAAAGATTTTGATGGATCATAGTTTACTTCGCTATAGTCGGCTATATCATTCTTGTAGCTATCTTCATAAATATCCTCCCTAGATTTTCTCAAATCCTCTTCAGAAAATGCGGAAGTTATCATTGGTTCATGAGGATCATATTCAGGATGTGCTTCTTTTAACAAAGCTGATTTTGGGCGTTCTATTGAATCAGAGTCTGTAGAACTGTAAAAAATTAAATAAAAATTTTATATCTAAGAAAAGAGATAACTAACTAACTTTTATAGGTCTCTCTGTTAGCAAAACCCTTTACGTTTTACAGGGTCTTAGATTTTTGGAGCAGACAAGTCTGCCACTCAGTTCCAATGTATGTTAGGGCAAAATCACACATAACACATGTCATGTACAAGATTTTGTTAATATCTTAAAAACAATCGTTATTTTAATATCTCAGGCATCGTTGTATTTCATTGGCACCAGTAAACATTCTCTACACACACTACTAAGTTTGAGGACAATCACTTTTTCCCTGACCAACCTACCTACCATACATGCACATATTCTTATAAAAAAAGAAATGTTACTTACTCATTCTTATTCTTAGTGGAGTTGTTTTCTTGAGATCTAGAGCGATGTTTCTCTTTTGCTTCGGTGCTTAAGCTATGCTTTGATCTTGATCTTGAGATATGTTTAGAGTCTTTAGATCTTGAGCGACGTCTAGAGCGACCCGGAGAGCGAGAACGTTCTCGACCTCTTGATGTGGATCTAGAACTTTCTTTAGAATGCCTCTTAGATTTAACTCTAGATCGTGACCTATGTTTTGATGGCTCATTGGAGTCTAATTTTTCTTTCGAAGACTCTGTTTTAGATCTCTCTTTAGATTGAGATCTTGATCTACTTGTGTTTCTATTGTTTCTACGTGAAGATCGTTTTTCCTTATCCTTTTTATCTGATCTCCTTCGGGAAGAACGTGATTTTCTGCCATCAGAGTCTCTTTTTGATTCATGCTTACTTCTGGAATGATCTGATGATCCATTTTCTTTGTCCTTTTTTCTATTGCTGCCATCCTTCTTATGGCTAGTAGAATCTGATTTCTTTAATCTGAAATGTGGAGTTTATTTTCAGACCATAGTCAAAATGTTTTGTAAAAAACAAAATGTTCAACAAACTTTAATGAATAAATTTGCAAACATCATTCTGTAAATTATATTTATACTGAATGATCTTTTTTAGAGTCTGAAAAAAATAGAGCGTAACACGTGAATGGAATACAAACATATGCCATTAAAATTTTACAATTTTTTTCTTTTACGTTAACTTGTTAAGAAACAGAAACAGAAACTTTTAACTAAAATGCATTTCTAATTTACAGTGAAAACTAATGACTGTTACAAAACTTACATGTCTTTAGCATCGACTGTTGGCTGCTCATTTCCCATGGAATCATTGAGGGCTGTAACTAGATCTTCCACTGGCACATTTGGATCTAATTCTGTAGAAACAGATTCTTTTGTTTCCATTACCTAAAAAGTATACGAAATTTAATATTGCATATTGATTTTTTTACGCATAATTTTACGTGTAATAAGAGAAGAGTGTGGTTTGCAAGATGATGTTGTGACCAGGATTAAGAAAGGAATGCTTCGGTGGTTTGGTCAATGAATGAGGAAAGAGTGACAAAGAAAATTTATGTTGCAGAAGTGAATGGCAGAGTCGGAAAGGGACGTCATATGCGAACATTTATCTACCAAATTGGCGATTTATTGAAAACGGGCCAAATTAGGAGTACCCTTAACCGACGAGCATGTATGCATAGGTGTATGGATGTGAAGGAGGCGAGAGAGGTGTGTCAGGATCGTGCCATATGGAAGTCTATAGTCTCTGCCTACCCCTCTGAGTGACAGGCGTGAGTGTTTATGTTATGTAATGTTTTTTACGCATAAATTATTTCATAATTTACTATAAAAAATTTAAATTCATATTACATGTTACCCACAATTAAAAAAGAGATTAATATTGAAGTGAAATTTAAAACATGAGAGCTTGTGGTTAGGAATCCTCAAATGATCCAATAAAATCAGTACCTAGTAATTTCTATACTTATAAATGGAGTCTACCTCTTCTCCTTTGTGTGTCTTAAGAACATATGTTTTGCTGGCAGCTAAGAGATCCAATTCAGATTTTTTTATTAACTCAAGCTGATGCTTCGCTTCTTTATCTCTCCATTGTGCTAATTCTTGACTTGCTAATTCTTCTGGGGACAGCCTTACCTATAAAGATATTTAATAATACAAATTTATTCACAAGAAATATGGTACAAAGATGTTCTTATAAAATAATAATGTATTACATATTTCACCAATTTTGTTATATGAAAACTTATGGTTAGAATATACAAAATTTAAGTAAAATTAAACGTGCATCTGTTTACAATTTTGATATTAATCCTTTAAAACATAATCAAATTAGAAACAGCATTTAAGACAGTCAATAGAAACATTCTTTTATTTTTAGCAGCCGGATAAAATTGTTTTTCTAAAAGCCACTTTAATAAATTACGTCTAAATGATTATATTCTAGTTGCCTTATTTCATTTAGGATTTTAATAAACACTTGAATAGCCATCACATAGCAATTTTTTGAGTACAGGCTAGTTTTTAATGAAGGAAAAATAATTTTATCTGGGTATCTGGTACTATATGCTACTGTATCTTTTAATCTAGTAAAAAATGAGGATACTTTTTTACGAATATTGAAAGTTCAAAAATGTACATGGATGGTAGCGTAAGAACATCCCAAGTCTTTAAATAATGGTTTACAAGAAACGGGTGGTCCGACGCCACAAATTGCTCGTATACAGCGTTTTTGCGCTATAAAAGCATGGTTTACATCTGTCCAGTTTCCCCATAATATGAGACCATATCTTAATACAGCAGCGACATATGCATGATATGCTATAAGAGAAGTGTTTCTTGACGAGATTGAAGTTAGCCTTCGCAGAGCAAAATTAAATTTAAATATTTTAGAACAAACTTTATCTATGTGATTTTTCCAATTACAATGTTTGTCTAAACAAATACCTAAAAATGTGGTACATTCACTGCTAGTAATTTTTTCACCATTATACTTAATATGAAGTAATTGTGGTTTACTTTTAACATTGTAGAATTGCATAAATATGGTTTAATTAAAATACTAAGCAAAATGTTATCCGGAAAATCCGCAGGAATAAAATATACATACCAATTGCTGAGGTGTAATTGTACGATCACATATTTTTTGCCACAAGGACAAATTCTTCCTATCCTTGATATTAAACATGAGTGATCTGTACTTCGCCTTATATTTCATTCCAACGTCGCGGAATAATTCGTGCAATTCAAACTCTGTGTCAATTGCAAATTGTTGAATTTCTTCTTCAGTAAATTTAGGGCCCGACGTTTCCGCCATTCGGATACTCATTTGCTCCTGCAGTGCTTTTTTCACATTGTCCCTTATTGGTTCCGTAGAATTAGTTTTCATTTTGTTTTCAGGGGGGTCTTTTCTTCGTGGTGTTGATGGTGAAACTGAAGGCATCTATAAGGAATTAATTATCGTTAATACGCCAAACTCGTAATCAAAATGTAAACATAAACATATCAAGGTTGCTCTATGACATAATGTTTTATATGTGCGTGCTAATAATATAAATTCACTGTTCCCGCCTTCTTTGAAAGATTCATGTGAATAAAGGCTATTGGCAATTATATAATGAATAATCTTCCGTAGTGGAATATTTAGCTTTATGATCTTTATCTTCAATTTAATGGCTACATCAAATGCTGATAGAATATTTGACAAGTAATTAAAATTCCTATCTGGTTTTAGCAACAGTTACATCTGTTGTCAAGTGTTACTGTAGAAATCATTACTCCACTCCCTCATGATGGGTGAAGTGAAGAGTTTTAACTTTATTAAGTGATAATGAATCACTTAATGAGCTTAATCGATTTTTTTCGAATACATTCATAAATTCATGATGACGGACTTTGTAAATACTTTTTTAAAGGATTTCAATTTCCAGATTTCTCAGAATGGTAATCACAAAAATTACGAAATACATAGCTGATATACGAATGTGTTTTAGTGTCATGTTCGTTATTTCTCGGATTGCTAAGGACCAAAATTACATCCACTTTCAGGTCATGAATCGTATACATCCATATTTATGAGAAAAATAATAGTACATTTTCGTGCTATCTCAGAGAATTGATGACAAAAATAATATCCATTTCTAAAACTAAGTTAACTTCATTGCCACAGCCCACATTGCAATAAGATTTTGAGGTCAGCCAGGATGCAGTATTAGAGACAAGGAGATAATCACAACTCAACTCAAGCAGTTTGGTATTTTTGCACAAATGTTGGCTCCAACTACGATTTATCTTAAATCCAGGTAGCCATTAGGACTCACAATAGTTGTTAATTAGAGTTTAAGTGATTAAGTGGCTCATAGATACTTACACCGATCCCCAATTGCAAATAAAAGTGGCGATGTATTTTGAAGGACGAACCTTCAATTTCGTACTTTATGCGGATATTCTGTGAGTTATAGTTTTCCCCAATCCCAAATCAAGGCAACCCATTCATGCTGTTGCATAGCTCTATAACATAAAATACTTACTGTCTCAACTCATCTTTAAATTGGGCTAGAAAAACAAGTATTGTATTCAAAATATGGTGATTTAACCATCTCGCATTCTTCAAGTCAATAAGATTTGCATGCCCTATTAACCCAGAATAACACAGAATATTAAATATTATACAGAAAATTTCGTATAATGATCAGAAGTAAACTATGTAAAACGGTGGCGCCGTGTCGTTGGCAATAAATGTTAACTTGTTGGTGAAACTCTGGTATAATTTATGTGGAGTTTTAAAGATTTTTCGTCTTTTTTATGATAGAAAATGAATAATAAATTTACGAAAGAAAGGTAAGATTATAAAAACTCGTGCAGAAAAACTCAACCATAAGAGACCAGAGATAAAGAGACAATTTAATAGATCCATGTATCATTGGATTTTTGATTATTCCCATTCTATTTAATAATTGTTACATGTTTTTTTTTTTCGAGTATATTTATATTTCGAGTATATACAAAAAATTGTTTGGAGTAAGTCAAACGCCAACATCTAGTTATAGCGAAATAAAACAAGTGCTAAATACCATCACAACGAGGTTTAACAAATTCACAAAAACATAATACATTATATTATTTGTTTTAGTAGTTTTCTTTGGTAGCAAATAAAAATATCTACGCATAAATTGAGTCAGTACTGAAAGAAATTTCAAAACATAATTTGCGCATTGGCAAAAATTGATGAATGGTAAGTAAAAAAGAAAGTAAATACAAAACATTCATTCCATTGCCGAAATAGAAGGTTTATAAGCAAAACAGGTTATTTTTGATAAAAATCTTAATGTTATAAACAATAGATAATAAGTCCTCTGGACTTAATTTCGGTCACGGCGCCCAGTCTCAAGGGAGACTAGCCATAGATGCACTCTCTATTCCCTCACTCTCTTTGTTTGATGGGACGGTAATCCTACACGACCGGAGAGAGATCAGACGCAGGACCAATAGTTTTACGTGTTTTCCGAGGCACGCGAGTGAAACATTACCAACTTCCTAACTCCGGGCTCATACTGAGAATTTCTTGACTATATATTCTTTACACTTAGGTACAATAATACTGTTGGATTATAGTACCTAAGTAGCCTACGCAGATGGCTAGAGGTTTTTCTTTTTTTATGGGATAAGGTGACAAACGAGCACACAGTCCACCTGATGGTAAGTGGTTGCTGCGGCCCATAGACATCTACATCTATCCTCGATTACGAATCAAAATGCAGATGCGTTGTCACCCGTGAGTGAGACTAAAAGGAATACCTCGTTTCCAGTAAAAAGGGTCTCCGGTTCTCTTCACTCACCATACGAAACACAGCAGCATTAAGCTACTATTTTACGCTGGTATTCTGTGTGAGGTCCCTTCCCGGTCGAGCGACCCATTCGTGCTATAACTATACTACTAATATAACTGCAGCATGGCTCTATCACGTATAAACATACAACGTTAAACGTCTCCGTCAAAACTGGCCACCGTGACCGAAATTTGGTCTTGAGGACATGTTAGCAATAGAGAGCAATTGAGAATTATCTTCAGATATTATAATAATAGATCTTTACCTATGAAATTGCCGTTCTGCGCTACTGGCCATTTGAAATCAAAATAATTTTCGTTTGGTTATGAATTCTAATTTCAAATGAATTTTATTACAAAATATATGAAATTCTTTTTTCAAAACTAGTCATTTGTTATGTTATCATTTGCATTAGAACCTTTTTCGTCATCATTGATTCGTTAAAAATTCGAGTAATTATGGAATATGAGTACCGTCGTGGCAGCTACGCGGTACAAGCGACACGCAGCATCAACGACGTTTACAAAGCGAATACTACAAGTGAACGTAGCACCTGTTATTGGCTTGCCCGATTCCGTTCTGGAAATTTCGACTTGAAAAATTAATTCCATGGTCGCCCGAAAGCTTTGTTCAACAATGACGAGTTAAAGGCCATTGTAGAACTGATGATACTTAATCTAAGCTTTCAAGCATCAAAACAGTATTGGTCCATTTGTGTCAAATTGGCAAGGTAAAACAGCTTGCCAAATGTGTGCTCCACTAACTCAATGATCGCCAACGAGAAGTACGCGTCGAGACGTAATTGGCACTGCTTAACAGGCACACAATCGAAGGAATTTTGACCAAATCGATTGTTTGACAAGCGGAAGCGCTCAGCAAGTTGGTTGGATCCTGGTTCGGCACCTAAACGAAGCCCACCTAAACGAAAACTTACCACCAGAAAATTATGGTCAATGTATGGTGCTCTAGCACCAGAGTGATTCAACACAACTTCTTACCAAACAGGAAGAGCATTACTGCAGATATGTACTGTGAAGAACTGAGCACAATTATGGAGAAGCTCGCATGTCTCCAACCAGCTTTGGTTAATCGCTCGTTTCCGCTGCTCCTGCACAACGGACGGGCTCCAAGTTACTAGAGCTGGGATTGGAAGTTCTCCGTTATCCACCGTACTCACCAGACCGTGCGCCTACAGACTTCTACTTTTTCCAGAATTTGGATAACGAGAAGCAGTACAAAATGCCTTTGTAGAATTTGTAGCCACCCGTCCAGCTGATTTCTTCAAGAAAGGTATCAATAAACTGCCACTGTGTTGGCAAAGATACATCGATTGCATTAGTGATTACTTTGATTAATAGAAATAAAAAATATCAAAAATTTCTTAGGTAAAGACCTTATATGTAGTCATTAAGTAATTTTGTGTCTTATGGTGTTTTAAGACAGCATCAGTATTAGGAAACGACAATCGGAAATGCAGAGTACATTTAAATGGAGAATGGGTAATTCTAGGGGTTTCATAAGGCATAGATGGCGGTATTATCATCTGTATTTATGCCAGATATAAAATAAATATATTCAGGTCAATATCGGAAAATATACTCCCCTTATGTTAAGATTCTGTGCACTCCCCAATCTTACCTTTTCAATTGTCGACTGAGATTTGCTTGTAGCACGTACGAGCTTGCGCGGTTCACTTGTTTTCATTACAGATGGACTACTGTGTGTTTTTGTAGTATCGAAAATTAGTTGCTGCTGTTGAGCTTTAGGAGTAACTGGAGTCTTAGGCTGTACAACAGGTTTTATTTCTTCTTTTGGTGATAGGAGTGGCTTCATAACTTTATCTTTATTTTCTTTTGAGACAGGTTTTGATGCAGTATGCTCTGTATCTTTCCTTGGAATCCTTTCAAAGTTTAATGTAGTCTGTATTTTGTTTGAGTCAGTGGATGATTTTTTACGAGAAGGGTTTGGCTTAATGGTGCTAAGTGTTCCAGGGCGAACAACTTCGAAGGTTGGATTTTTTTGCAACCAGGATTTCAGATTTTCTGCAGTTGGTGCATTTGGACCAGCCAATAATCTTCCAGTTTTTCTTTCATATACAATAACCTAGCATAGTAAAAATTTAAAAAATATTAATTACATATATATTAGTATAAGTAGTGATATTAAAATTTAGATTTCTTTGTGGTAAAAAATACATACCCTTGATTCAGATTTAATTTTTTCCCGAACTTTTCCTGTTTCATCTGGCTTTGATTGTACCTGACTGCTTAAAGAGTCCTGTGCATGTTTTAAAATACAAGTATCACTGCAATAAATGCTACTAGCACGAGCTGATTTCTTACATACAATGCATTGTAATGCATTTGTTTTCGTACCAAATGCAGGTGCAGGTTGTGTTGAAGTTTTTGTTTCTTCATTGTCAATCGCTTTCACAGATGTGGCAACCTAAGGAAGTAAAATTAATAGTAAATAACTTTAGCTTTTCCCCGCGACTTTTCCCGCGTGGGATTTATTACGACTCAAATTCACGGGATTTTTTTTGCTCGGAACCGTATTTTTTTTTTCGAAAATAAAAGTATCCTAAGCTACTCCGTATAACGTCATCTATCTGCACATGAAAGTTCCGTCAAAATCGATACAGCCGTTTCGGAGATTAGCTGGAACAAACAGACAGGCAGACAACGCTCAATATTCTTAAAAAACCGGCCAACTGCGAGTCGGACGCGCGCATGAAGGGTTCCGTACTATCGTATAAGATTTAATACTATGTAGGGAGGTACTATACAATGTGTTCGGTTACCGGTGTCGGAGCTTTTAATGCTATAAAATATAATCAATTTCATCGACAAATCATGTCTCAAATCTCATTTAGACCTAGCTGTATTTAAATGGCAGCCATTTAAATTTTTCAGTGTCACCATCTCGACCCCGCGCATTAAAATTACAATATTCACCGATGTAGACGTCCTACATTCTTAAAAGATGTTTCATTGGATAGATAAAGATACGCGTAATAAAATAAAAGCAAACTTTTAACTGCAAAATTGTATTTAGATCCTAAAAACACTTACAAAAGAAAAAAAAAATCGATTTCACATTTTCGACTTTAATGAAAAAAGTAAGTCATTTACCTAATGATTTTTTACATTAATCAGATAGATCAGAACATTTCCTAACCAAAAACATAAAAATCTCAATTGTAAATTAAATAGTTTAAGAATTGTACTTTAGCAAACACGACCTCTTAAAAGCGCAAGCTGCACATGCAGGATCATTTATGATAGTTCAAGAGCAGGTAGAAAAACCCAAAGCCCATTGTTTGATGTTCTAAACAAGTGTACTTGGGACAGCAAAAACAGTCGTCCCTCGCCACGCGTTGTTATTACACTACTTTTGGCCCTCTAAGATCGCTTGTTGTTGTTATTGTTAAAAAAAAAATTCCGTTTTGTGGAACTTTTTAAGTTTGTGGTGAAGTTTCTAGTTATTTTGATATTTTCAAAAATGGCAGATGGTGAATACTCAAACCAGCATGTCGCTAATATCCACTTTGTGTATGGATTGTGCAACGGCAACAGAGCAAGGATGATTGTCCAACTTGACGGGGCACCTGCACATTTTACAGTAAATCTATGAAATTATTTAAATGAGCGCTATTCGCCGTGGATTGGTAGCGGTGGAAGGATCGCTTGGCCTCCGCGTTCACCGGATTTAACTCCCTTAGACTTTTTCTATGGGGCACTATGAAGCAAAGAGTTTATGCGAACGTGCCAAACTCACGAGAAGAGTTGATTAATAAAATAATCGAAGTTGGAAATGAATTGCGACAAGATCGGGAGATGATCAGACGTGCAACTCAACATGTGGCAATAAGGGTTACAACATGCCTCCAACATCGCGGAGGTCATTCAAATAATTTCTTACACAAAAAATAAAAAACTCCCCCTAAAATAACAAACCTATAATAGTTTATTCGAACAGTTTTTATAAATAACTTTTTAGTTACGTGCATTTTGAAATGTTGTGTTTCACTCTTCTCATCAATTCACTTTGTCTGTCTGCAAGTTTGTTTTATACGTGGTAGAGCCATACTGCAGTTATATTAGTAGTGTAGTTGTAGCACGAATGGGTCGCTCGACCGGGGAAGGACCACGCTCTCACAGAATACCAGCGTCAAATAGTAGCTTAATGCTGCTGTGTTTCGTATGGTGAGTGTAGAGAACCAGAGACCCTTTTTACTGGAAACGAGGCATTCCATCTCAGTCCTCACGGGTGACAACGCATCTGCATTTTGATTTTTAATGGAGGATAGATGTAGACGTCTATGGGCCGCAGCAACCACTTACCATCAGGTGGACTGTGTGCTCGTTTGTCACCCTATTCTATAAAAAAAAAACCAGGGCGACAAATTTTTCAAAGGTCATATTAAAACAGTTATAATACTGATTTTTTTTTGGTTACAATTAAGATTTTTATGTTTTTGGTTAGGAAATGTTCCGATCTATCTGATTAATGTAAAAAATCATTAGGTAAATGACTTACTTTTTTCATTAAAGTCGAAAATGTGAAAAAATAACCGAATTTTTTTACATTTTTTTCTTTTCTTTTGTAAGTCTTTTTAGGATCTAAATACAATTTTGCAGTTAAAAGTTTGCTTTTATTTTATTACGCGTATCTTTATCTATCCAATGAAACATCTTTTAAGAATGTAGGACTTCTACATCGGTGAATATTGTAATTTTAATGCGCGGGGTCGAGGTGGTGACACTGAAAAATTTAAATGGCTGCTATTTAAATACAGCTAGGTCTAAATGAGATTTGAGACATGATTTGTCGATGAAATTGATTATATTTTATAGCATTAAAAGCTCCGACACCGGTAACCGAACACATTGTATAAGTAGATTATACTTCATAAACACTGTGAGCATTTCAATAGTCTACTTGTTGCCATTATTAAGATCGAGCAAAAAAAGCAAAAAACATGTTTCTAGTAGGGGAACCCCCTTAAATTTTATAATTTATTTTTATTATTTGTTGTTATAGCGGCAACAGAAATACAAATTCTTTGAAAATTTCAATTGTCTACCTATTACAGATCATGAGTTACATCCCGCTGACAGACATACAGACCCTTTGGTTACCCTTCAGGTACAGAACCCTAAAAATGGATACAAAGTTTTCTCTTTGTGTATTAATACATAGATTTGTTTAATTACTAGTAATGTATAAAATATTTTGATACAAACAGTTACACAGTACAAATTTAAAAAATTTACCTTATTATTATTTTTGTTAACTGTTTTTATGCTTTTAATACAGTTCGGACACCGCCATTCTATACCCTGCTCTTCCATTTGTTGTCCCATAGCTTTTGTAATATTAACACATTTACCATGGAACCAATCTTCACAACTATCACAACATATCATGAAACGGTTATTGTGGGGTTGTTTACAGATACACCACAACCTGTAATATACAAAATTACTCTAAGAATATTTAAAAATAATATATTATATGTTTGCATGTTTATAAATAGCTCTCTCCCGCATCTAGAAGAATTTGCAACAACTACAAGATTAGATTAAGAAAAAAATGTTCCCAAAAAAGGTAATCATAATTTATTTGCAGAAAATATAGTACAATACAAGTTGGTAAATTAGTCCAGCATGTTTGTCAAAATGATGACAAACAAATATTTGTCTAATACATAATTTTTACAACCAGTATGATAATTAACATTATTTCAATTCCCAGTAAAAGGTGTGACATCCTAGTAAGAGATGTAGACCCTTTTACTGCAAACAAGGCATTCCGACTTGGTCCTCAGTATACAATGTTGCCAGTGTGAGGCTATCCAGATATACCAGATTTGTTAATAAATAATATAGTCATATTCAGTCACAAAGAAAATGACCACTTAGGCAAATAACGTTTAAGAAAATTGACAATGAGAAAAAACCAGCCGAAGACGAATTTTGGCGGCAATTGGATGGCCGTTGGTTTGTTGCTCGTGTTTTATCATCGGCGGTTCTCTGCTTTAAAGAAAAACGAAAGAGACTACAAGTAATTTAATTTTGAGTTTCATTGTCTTAAGTATTAAAGCAGGGTTGCACGGGATAATTATCTTGATAATTATCGTGATAAATAATAATAACTTTGTTCATGCGTGTGATATTGTGCATAAAGTTTATGGCGTGTATCCAAACGCGGGTAATTAAATAATGATGGCTTGTATAAATTTTTAGTTAAATTTAAGTTCATGTTTTTTTGCTAAAATAAACACCATATGTTACTTTTAAGGCCGAATACGAAGAGAACTGGTGAAATTTAATGTATTTCTCTTCACTACAACTTTGACCTGAAGTAATTCTAAGGGTTAAAACATTTTTGTAGGCTGGTTCGGTTCCTTCACAAGATGCCCGCCGTTTTAATATTTTAAAATAAATGAATATACCAATTCGTTTTAATTAAAAACACCTAATAATAATATCGTATATTGCCAGATAAAAGTTGGCCGTAATAAATTACCAGGCGCTTTGACGTGTGACGTAAGGTGACAACAGTCGTTGTGTCTGTAGCGCAATTCGTTAATTTAGTGTTTTATACGCGTTTCAGTGACTATGGGTAGGAAAAGAAATAAATGTTACCTAAGTGGTAAAACAAAGAGTTGTTGTATTTTGAAGTTACTTATATTTTTTGTAAGGTAATTTTTTGTTTGAGGCTGCCTAATAGGCTGCATTTTTACTCATTTACACTAGCCAAACTGATCATTTATACTTTTCTAGGCAAGTGAGAAACACTAAAAATGTAAATATCACGACCGAGTCGGAAAAGAATATACAGAGTAGTGCAATCACAGAGACCGCAAATAATGTCATAGTCAATGTATTGTCCGAAAGCATGGGGTAAGTACATAATTAAGAAAAACCGAAATACTTCGGATGTGAAGTGATTGACCAGTCGGAGTAGTCTTGTGAGAATTTACATACACAATACCTATCCCCACTATGGGGCAATCACCGACTTTTTAGTTTTTTTTTTCTTTATTATTTATGCAATTTGCATTACGGCATCTTGTAAGACTCACAAGAACAAACATTTTCAGTTATATGAGGTTCTTTAAGTACGATGCACCAATTAAGAAAAAAAATCGATATCAATTCAATAACTTTTCGATCAATATTTTATAACGAATAAAGTACAGAATTTATAATCTATAGGTACTAATATTATAAGAAAGATTTAATTAAGAAGTAAGCAATGCTCTCTGTGTTGTTCATTACTCCGCATACTGAGCTAGCTCAGTCAAATATAATATAATCAAAGCCCGTACGGCTTTGATTATATTATACATGTCCTATATAAACAAAGCGTATGGGTAACACATGTGATGTTCGATAGACGGCGCGTGGTTTGCTGCGAAACGAGCAAGGTCAATCGCGTCGCATTCGGCCTTAAGACCTCTAAATTGCAAAATAAGGTTCAGAAATGAACATACTCAAAACAGTTTCAAAATCCAAGTACTACAGGCTAATGACTTTCTTTAAATACATACCAAATTAGCCAGGAGATCATTATCAGATTTGTTTTTCGAAAAGACAATAGTTAGTACCTGTTAGGATCATCCTCAGAGTTCCAGCTTTCTTGAGATTCAGCAGATGCTTTTTCTACAATTGGAGCTTGTTCAGTCTGTTCTTGTTTTTTCATTGTTAGTTTTCTATTAACATACTGCTTTGATACATGTTGTAGCATTGGTTCTGAAGGTGGCATGACAGGAGAAAGTGGCGGCTCTATTGGCACTGCCACCCCACTGGTTGAAACTGATGACTCCACTTGACTTTTACGTTTTGAAGCCCTAGTAGCTGGTGCTTCAATAGGAGGCAAGGTTATAACACGGCCATCACGCCGGACAATCTCTATTGGATCTTTTCTTGGTGCATTATTCTTTATAGTCTTAGATGGAGTTGGTAAGAAAGAAGAATTTGTAACTTGCGATTGTTGAGGGATTGTAGAAATAAGTGGTTGTGTTTTAGCGGATAATGAATCAACTTTACCAAGAACTTGTTTGTCAATTACTTCCTGCAAGTTTTCAGAACTCTCTACTAACTGAGCCACATGCATCAATAAATCTTCTGTCAAACCCTCTTCTTCAGGTTGTAATCCAGCCAATAAATCTAGTGTTGGAGATAATGGTCCTGCCAAACTTGGACTATTAATTACATTTGCATTAGAAGATATACTTGGTTGGTTCTTCAATGGGGTAGGTGTGGTTTCTTGAAGTATCTGAGCTAAACTTGCATCATCTAATTGTGGTATAGTATCATAGCCCTTAACAGATTTGTCAGTAGCAATAACATTTTTAGTGTTAGGTTTTGAATTAGATTTCTGCATAACCTGAGTTTTATTATTTTCTGAATTATCAATTAATTTATTACTATCTGCTAATTTAGAATCATTGACCTCAGTAGGTTTAGCAATGATATTGGCTTTTTTATTTGTAGACACAGTTTCTTTGTCAGATTTAGGTAATGTTTTGTTGTCTGTTGATACCCTTCTGATAACATCTGGTGTGGAAAACAATGATGTCATATCGGAAAGCAAGGCAGTGACATGAGCAGGTGTTTTCTTTTCCTTTTTAACTGTTTTTGGCATTTGTTTAGGGACAACCTTTGCCAGATCATTTCCTGCACCAGTGCTTGTTGGTACTTCTATAGAGACACTTTCTTTATTTGACAGTATACCTAAATCACTTTCTTTCTTTTCAAAGGTAGAATTCTTTTGTAGAATTTTCTTTTCTTTAAGGTCTCGTCGAACAATACTTCTGTTAGATTTATACTTTGGTGTGGTTCTTCCAGATTTATTGTCTTTAGACTGCGAATTCTTTAAAATTCGAGGTTTGATTTTATTCTTCTTCAATTTAAGTGCAAGAGACCTATCTTTAGTATCTTTGTAGTCAGAATCCGAGTCTCTATCAGGTGCACTATCACTAGAGGAGCTTACTGAAGATGAATCAGTGTTATCTTCAAATTTCTTTTCTTTATTAATCTTCTTTGCAACAGCATTAACATTTTTTGGTTTACTTAATACAGGTAAAGTTTTATTCAAAACATCATTACCCTTTAATAGCACAGAGGTATCTGTAGGATTTATAACTATCTTTTTACCTTTAGGTATAATTTGTTGCTCCAATATAGTAATCTTTTTAGTGCTTTGAATAGGCTTTGGAGGTGCATTATGAGTGATTTCAATAACTGGATCATCAAACCCTGTAAAAGCTTCATTTCCTTGTGGTAATGCTTGACTTGGTGATTTAAGTGGTGTATAACAATGATCATTATGAAATCCCACAAGACTGTTTTCCCTAGTCTCTATCCTTAAAGATTGTAACATTTCCGCACCACTATCTGAAATGATTTCAATTATATAATATTCATCATTATTTTATATTTATATAACATACAACCCGACAAAGTTAACTTGAAACTTCGCTCGGATGATGGAAGCGCGCCGAACTAACTGAAAAGAAGTAATGTTTGTTGAATACTATTGAGTATTGATTCATTTATTTGGTGGCTGGGTACTAAATACAATAGAATAAAGTATGTATAATTTCTTTACACTTAATAAGCTTTTATTTAACATTGAATAAAAAGGTTATTCAGTATAGGATAATTCAGTCATTGTCATAGTCAGATAGACAGAAAACCAACAAATAAACAAAACACAAAAACAGCTATCACGCAAAAAGAACAAATAATAAACAAAACGATATTAAACCTATGAGATCAATTTAAAAATTGCAGCAAGAGTGGTAAGGTCTTAATTAAACTATGGCGGGTTGTAGCTATATTAAAAAAATTAGATTATCTCTACCATATTTAATAATGCTATTTGGTTCATCATAATAGCTATCCACAGATAGTGTTACATGAGGTATTTTATCATCTTCATTCTCAGAATCGGTTGCATCATCTGGTCGTCCTTCATGCCCAACACGAACCACACTTATACCAGCTGCTTGTGATCCATCAGTACCTGTACAATTAGGTTTATAGTTAAATGTTGCAGACACAAATGCAAATAGTAAATTGTTCACTAGAGTTACCACCATGATAAGTAAAAAAAGTAAAATAAAGTAAACAGTATTATAAAATATAACTTTTTTGAGAAAAAAAACTAAATTGATTTAAATATTATTATACAGGGTGTTAGTGTAAACACCGTTATCCTTGAAACCAGTGGTTTGGTTTAACTTATAGAATGTCAATTCCATGAATTTAAAAAAAACGCTATTTTCTTTCATAAAATTTAAAGTTTTTGTCCGACACCGTCCGTAAATTCATGGAAACCCTATGCGCCCGAGTGACGTAATCACTGTAAAGATCACCGCCCGCGCTAGTTACCTACACAACATTCCAATAAAAACACAATAGGCACACATAACCTGTGATGTAACTTTTCCTTCATACTTTCATCCTGGCTTAGGGCAGGCAAAAATTGAGGAATTAAGGAAAAATTGAGATTTTACTAAAAAAAAATGTTATTTTTCATTGAATTTATGTTCTATAAGTGAAACCAAACCACTGGTTTCAAGGATACCGGTGTTTACACTAACACCCCGTATAATAATATTTAAATCAATTTAGTTTTTTTCTCAAAAAAGTTATATTTTATAATACTTTTATTTCAGACTTAGATCTGTATAAGTTGTTAGTAATACATTGCGCATCTTAAACACTAATGTTAGTTCCTTAATTATGTATCATCACTTTTTAACAAATCGTTCCAATGATTTAGCATATGCCCGTCACATCGTTCGGCGTACATGTTCATAATACTATTGCGGCCGCCACGCATTCTGCTCAACAGGGAGTACACTCTTTTACGCATTATTGCAAAGAAGTCATCCATTTGCGCTTCTGCAAACATCCCTGATGCGCTACAAAAGAGAGGCAGCCCCAACAGGGCCTTGAAAATGTTATTATATAAAACACAAAGGTCACTGTAAGCGCGCTTTGTATACATTGTCCATAAGCCGCATGCGTAAAAAGATTGGCAGTAGGCTTTAAAGAATGTTGACCTCTTTGCTGCACCGTGCAAACCTACAAATCAACAAATTTCCATGGACCAACAGTGCCCTTCTCAATGTCAATATCATCTTTACAATTTTCAGTAATGTAGTGGCCTAGATGTTTAAAATCATTTATTCTAGCTAGGGCACTATCATTAAGTATACATTTTACTGATATAATATATATATATATATATATATATATATATATATATATATATATATATATCAGTATGTAATGTATATATTACGTATAGTACGTTTCTAGGGCAGGCGGAAAAAAGTACATTGACCTTTGACAATATCATCGGGGTAGGCAATCTTTTTTGCTTAGGTTCATTTTTTTATCCTTTTATCATTAGATACATCATCAGAGTGAAAAATAAAGGTGCCGAGTGCGAAGTTCTTTACAGGCCCTATGTCTATTACTATATAATAAAGAAAGAAGATTATCCTGTACCTAAATGAATTAAAAAGCAAATTAATATTAATTTAAGTTTATTATTTATAAATCATGAGTTATTACAATTTTCATCATTACGCTAATAGTAGGTAAGTACCTTAATAAGAAGGTAGGTATGTAGTTGTATAAAACAACCACTTCTTGGCAGTCAGGTAAAAAGACAAACTTTTAATGCTAAGCATTCTTAAGCAGCCAACTTTGAAGCATGCATAAAACTTCTCATATTAGATTGTCACTTGACAATTATTCATCTGTATCATTGATTATAACCTAAAATATCGGCAGTCTTCTTTTTCATATCCGTTTTATACATGATACGTCACTAGACCACATTTCTTTTACATATTTATAGATGTTTACAATCATTATTTTTTCGGTTTCGGTAATAATACAATTAACAAAACAAAGTTAATAAAAATTAAAACAACTACTATATCCGAAAATTTTAAATCTCAAACTATCTACACGCAACGCAAGTGCATCCCAAAGCAGAATGAGGAATCAGTTCTGCTCCATCCGCTTTTTTAAATACGCACGGCGTGAGACCAATCCCGAATTGCGTTGAAACAGGTTAATTATCTCTGAATGACCGCTTCCTTCACCCTACCCCGTACCATGAGACACGCTTAGCGCATAACGATACGTAATCTATAAAGAAATGTATGGAAGCAATAACTGTCGTTTTGTTTCGATGCTAACATAATACTTGAGGACAATGTACTTTTTTCCGCCTGCCCTGGAAACGAACTATAGTTAATTTTCATTTTTATTTTATTTTATTCTATATTGCCACACCTACGTCAAATTCTCACTATGGGTTGACTGGTAGAGAATGCCTCAAGGCATTTAGTCCGCCCTTGTATTCTTATTTTTATTAATAAGGAATGCAATAAAGAATAAATTAATTAATTAACCCATTCAGTGCCTTGCTTTTTTAAATCAGCCCGCCCATGGGCGGGCTGATTTCAAATCTAAATAAGTATGCAAAATAACATGAAAAAATTATAAGATTTTGTCTAATAACTCATTTTATTACTATTGATTTGTTACCAAAACAGACTGCGGATATCTTAAATTTTAGAAAAGGACAGTTCTGACCTGTCATGCCGACCCCGCCCATGGACGGGCAGTACGCGTATTCAGAGTTAACAAACCTTTTGTTAAAATTTTTATGAAAAATTAAAATTTTAGTAGAAATAATAACAAATAAAGTATATTTACATGTAGTGATAATAAAATATAAACTTTATTGTTCTTCGCTTATTATTCTATAAAGTGAATTCCCTATTCTAAACCGCCGATCAGCTGAGACGAGTTTGTGTGGAGAAGAAATTTTTTTTGTGATTTCAATATTGGTCCCATAGAAAGTTTTTGTTTTTGAGCAATAGAATCACTTCCTAAGATGATTACTCTCTTTTTTTAACACCTTATAGATAAGACAACATACTGTCGGTAACTATGAAGCAAGATAAAAATGCAGATGACGATCTACATAATAGGATCCGATCGGTATTTGTCACTTTGAAAACAGACAAAGTGCCCACACCTATGTTTTGGTTTTTTGGCTAATGACCTATTTCAGATTGTGGTTTGATACAGATAAGATCACAAACTGTTGGTAAATGGGAAACAAAAAAAAATGCAGATGGTGATCTGAACAAAGGAGCCAGTCGGTAATAGTCACTTTGAAAAGAAAAGAAGGACCGATAGATACCTTTTGTTATGGACACCACAAATTTTACAACTTGCATGATTTACGAATTAACGTAAGTAGCATATTATAAAAAAAAATAGTTATGAAAAAAACTTTCACTCGCATCTTGACGTTCACGGTTTTAACAACTTGAGTTTTGCTGATGATAAGTTCGTTTGACTTACGAGGGTGGATTGAAAAGTACTCGGCCTAACCAAGAAAATAAACACATACTAAATCATTTATATTTTTATTTTTCTACATAATCACCATCAAGTTCAATACACTTTTGCCTCCTCCCCTTCCAAGCATTTAGACCGTTGAAAAAAAAATGATTCTTCCTTAGAGTCAAAATATGCGTCTACAGCTGCTTTGACCTCGTCGTTTGTCGAAAATATTTGACCTCCCAAGTGCTTTTTTAGGTTAGGGAACAGAAAGAAGTCTGATGGTGCCAGATCAGGTGAATACGGCGGATGCGGTAACAGTTCAAAGCCACAGTTGTGAATTTCAGCCATTGACTGTACTGACGTGTGAACACGGGCGTTATCTTGATGAAACAGGACTTTTCTTCTGAGCATTCCTCGACGTTTTTATTTTATTTCCTCTCGTAAACGACGTAGTAAGGTGCAGTAGTAATCAGAGTTTATAGTCTGACCCCTTTCAAGATAATCAACCATAATCACACCTTTCAAGTCCCAGAATACTGAAGCCATCACCTTATTTGCCGACAAAATCGACTTAGCCTTTTTAGGGGGTGGTGAACCAGGTCTTCTCCACTGTTTTGTTTGTTGTTTTGTTTCCGGTGTACAGTAATGAACCCATGTTTCGTCCATAGTAACAAAACGATTCAAAAAATCATCTGCATCGGCTTCAAATAACTCCAAACAGTCGCGTGAAATAGTCAATCGCGTCCTTTTTTGTTCAACTGAAAGCAGTCGCGGAACCCACCTCGCAGACACCTTGTGGAAACCCAACTCGTTGACAATGATGTTTTGAGTTCGTTCATAAGAGATGCTTATAATCTCGGCTATCTCTCTAATTTTTAGTCTGCGGTCTCCCATTATTAAATCAAGTACTTTTTTAATATTTTCGTCAGTAGTTATCGTCGAAGGCCTTCCAGAGTGGGGTTCATCTTTCACACTCTCTCTACCACGCTTAAATTCTGCTATCCATTTTTTGACGGATGAATATGACAGAGCACAATCGCCTAATGTACTGACCATGTCATCATGGATGGCTTTTGATGATAGCCCCTTCTTATGGAGGTACTTAATGACGGCACGCTGCTCGATTTGCTCCATTCGCGGAAATTATGTCCGATTACTTTGTTAATAAATTTATAAAATCACAACTAATTATCGCACACGTTTCGAACTTCACACAATGAACTAGTCTGAACTGAACTAAATAATGTGGGTAGATTTGATTTTTAGAATTGAATGGATCTGTGTTAGGCCGAGTACTTTTCAATCCACCCTCGTAGTTTATTGAGTTGAGATTATCTCATCTGCCTAATTCCTACCAAAATTAATGCAAGAGGTAAGACGTGGGAAAAAAATTAAACATATAATAAGGTTGACTATTGCTGAACTTGAAAAAAAAGCCCTAAAATGTATGCTTTTATATTTCACTTTAGATTTCCTTGTACTAATATGAGCTTAAATCTGTCTTATACACAGATTAGGATACATTTGCTTCCTTTTAATTGAATTAGCTGAAAGTTTTGCCTTACCTTCACACTCCATTAATAATTCGATTAACAAAAACAATAAAAAATGAAATTGGCACAATTTATTCTCAAATAACACAAAAATGTATGCAAACACACTCTACATAACGCACAGAATGTGTAAATTAGACATTTAAAATATCTCATGTCGAAATCTAAGGCCTCATGCTGAAACCACCGATGGGCAGGCCAAGATACTTTATTGAGATTCGGGCCCACTGATGGACGAGCTTAATACTAGTATAAAACGGCATGGGGGTAATGTTGTCAGTTCTTAGGAAGGCAGTGAATGGGTTAATACTTTACACCATTTAGCACAAGATTATAATTTTATGGATCCAGAAGTACAGTTGCTTGCTATAAAAGTATAGAGTATACATATTTTTTTAGTTTTTAACTACTACTACTAGATTCTAATTTATTCAAATGAGTCAAGGGGTACCTTGAAGTTCAGCAGAATAATTGAAGTAACAAGTATGTATTGCTTTTCATATTGTCCTAGTTTAAAAAGAGTAATAGACATAAGACATGTTGCAAAGTAATATGAAGCAATTGATAATGGACAAATGATGATTTTATTGGTATTTTAAGTCTCCATTGTAATATTTTTGTAAAATGCATCTTGATTAAAACTACTTTTACAGATTTTAACACATTTAATTTTAATTATTTATAATTCCCGACGTTTCGGGTGCTTTCCAGCACCCATGGTCATGGGGGACTGAGATGATTGACGTCCTGATGTCATAGTTAACCTGGAGTACCTTCAGCTTTTTTAATTATTGTTTATGGTTGGATCTATGCAAAATGAACTGACTGTGTCTTGAAGTCTTGCAGTGGTATGCTTGGGTTTAGTTTTAATTTTATTGATTATAGGGTCCCAAGCAGGTGGTAGTACCCAGCCTCCTTCTCTATTGAAATTAGGATGTTTTTTAATTTCAATAGCCTCACATATCATCTTTGGTAGAAATCGGTACTTTTTTTGCGAGGATTTGTCACAAAAATCACATCAAAAAAAAAAAAACAAAAAAATTTTAAATGGGTCACTCTTCGAGATCACTATGTTAAATGCATCTTGTTTATAAAAACATTATTTAAGTAAATAAGAAATAAAACATAAATATATCTTTAGTAATGTGTATTTTACAAAAAGAAAATTATCTCTCTCAGTCATGTAAATGTCCATTGAATAATAAGACACGCTATTGAGCTAAGGCCTCGTCTCTTATTCTCACTCTACAGTTCACAAGTGACAAGTAAAGATTAACAACTTAAAATTTGAAGTAGTACATGTCAAAATAGTTCTCTTTGCATTTCCCATGTCAAAATGTTCCTCTTAATCAGATAAGATTGATTAACATTGAATTATATCCACTTACTTAAATTTACATATGTTTTTAGTAACAAAAAGTATACAAAATTTAAAAATAGATTTCATACTTTCACATTTTTCAGCATTTTTCTGTAATTTATAAAGTACAAATAATGAAACCTAGTTTGATAACATCATAGAGATAACACTTAGTTTAACTTTTATGTATTTTGGTATATTATAATTTATGTGGTAGAGCCACACTGCAGGTATGTTATGGTTGTAGCACAAATGGAGTCAGCTCAATCTAAGTACGACCCCATTCTCGCAGTATACCAATGTATAATAACAGTTTAATGCTGCTGTCTTTCATATGATGAGTTTAGGGAATGGGAGACCCTTTATACTGGAAAATGAGGCATTCTATCTTAGTCCTCAGGGGTGACAATGCACTGCATTTAGACTATGCATGTGTCTATGGGCCTGCGCATCTACTTACCGTCAGGTGGACTGAGTGTTCGTTTGTCCATAGAAGGTATTTGCTTTTATCTTTCGTATATTTTTAAACATACATTATTATATTGATACAGGTGGCACAAGACCGTGTTTTGTGGCATCTGTTGGGTAAGGTACCATGTTTAGTCAGCAAACGAACTTGCGAAGGGCTGTTATAATGATGATATGACGATAGTTCGCGCAATATTGTTTACAAAGACAAATGGTACAATAATTTGTAAATGACTCAGTTGAACATTTGCTATAGTGTTAAAATAAGGAATTTAATTAATTGTTAATACATAAATCAAACAGTTGTACTAACCCATTAGAGTGCCTAATAATTTTTGGTCGACTGACAGAGATCCATCTTTGTTGACAATAACAACAACTGAACTATCGGTTTTTGTTGAAGGACCATTGAGATCCGTATAATTAGTTATAACAGTATTTGCCATTTTTGTAACAATTCATACCACTGAATTTTCTCACAACTTCTCTATTTTTAGCCACTTATAATACAAGTCTGTAACGCGTCTAACTATAAACACAATCGACGCCATTTTGAAATCCCTCAATGTAGTCTTCCAAGCAGCAAAACAAAAGGCGCCAAGCGCCTTGTATAAAATATTGTACCTTAGTAAGAATAATGTATTTCAGTGTACGTTTGATAACAACGTGTTGCAAATTCAATATTGGTCAAATCGTATTAAGAACAAGACTTCAGATAAATATAAAATATTTTATGTACCTATGTACTTTAAGGTATTCAAAGCATAGTGGCATAGAGCATCAGTCAGTAATCCATAGATTACTGTATACAGTAATCTATGGCATAGAGTATCTCACAGAGTATTTTATGGTATCTTTTTATAAAGCTAGAATTTTTTTGTTATATTAACGGGTTTTACAGCTCTGGGTTCTAGCCCTTCTGAGCCTAACCAGAAGTTCAAAGTTCAGAATCACAGATTAGGCTTAGGTTTGGGTATAGACAGAGAAACCTATAGACTAATGATTAGCGTCGCCTCGAGTGAGATGGGACGATAACGTAGTTTTAGGTTATACAATAAAATTAGATATTAGATAAAAAAATTAATTGTTCTAAGAACTGAACTGAACAAGATTCACCAATCTCAAGCTCACAAAACACTTTTTTCTAACTTAAACCAACTTGTAAACTCCTTAGATCGCTACGAACTTTCAAAGTTGTTTAGCAAAGTGTAGTTTGCTAAAAACAAAAAAAAACTGGCACGGAGAAAGGGACACACCGCTCTGTCTCATTTCTATGCAAGACGTATTGTTATACTCTGTATTTGTTAGCCCTAGTGCTGCACTGCCTCTTAATAATGTTGACTTGGCCTTAAGGTTCAGTGAGTATTGCAGTGGAGCAGTTCGGCCACTTCAGTCTGCTTCCATCTACGAAACTGCTCGGTTGTCTACGGACCTAAGTTAATTTCTAACCAGTTTACAATATTTAATCCATTTATACTAAATTCAATTTCAGTGTGTTAAATAAATCTTTTTTTTTTTAAACCTCTCCGTGTAACATTTGGTGCCAGCGGTGGGATACGGAAATCCCCAGTGTCAAGTGAAGTGGAACTGCTCAGCAGACTCGCTCCATATCCTAAATCTCATAAAATTAAATCTTATCCTGTGTCGTCCTAGTAAACCTAAATATAGTGCAAGTGCTATACTCATTGCTAAGGCCTAGACGTCCATCCCATTACGGAGACCCAATTGATTCCTGGAAAGGAATCCACATAATTTCCAAGGTAGAGGCGCGATCACATCCTGAACCGCAATCATCAAGAAAATTAGCCTAAAAATTATCCATTCTCATAAAATAAATATCGTCAGAGAATTCGATAACTAGAATTGAAAGAAAGAAAGAAAGAAAGAAAAAACATTTATTCACGGTCTAATCATAATAGATACAAAACAAAGCAAAAAATTGGAATTAAACAGAAAATAAAACAATATTTCCATAAATTAACAAAAATGTATAAAAATAATATAAAATGAGTCTTTGTAGCAGCATAAGACCGTGAAATGGACAGGACTCAGTAAAAATCGAGATACAGAAACACGAATTGCTCTGATCCCGACACTGGTTTTCAGTCCGGCCCGCCCTACGACGTAACTCGGACGGCTGCCTCAATGCACATGCTATAATGCGACGCGGAATATATAAAAAAATATATGTTTTTAAATTTTAATTCACATAAATAGTGGATATCATTAGTCTAATGAAGGTAAGTACAAAATAGAATTAACGTTTTCCTTCTAAATATATCAATTTTATTTATTAAGAATGCGGAATAAACGGTGGCTAAAGAATAAAGGTAAGAAAATGATTGTCAGAAAAAGTAAATTTATTATATAAATATTTAAATAAAATAGTTTTATATATTATATAAAGTGAAAATTAAAAATATCTATATAATTTATGGGACTGAGATTACTGACGTGTTGAAAGAACTTAACCTCCTACCAGTTTATTTTATAGATCGGAATTTTTTTGTTCCGAAAGTAAGTGTAACTTGTATTTGATTTTAAACCCACTAATTGTTTTCAGGTCACGCAGTGGAACAGAATTGTAGCGCACTGGAACAAAATTCATCGAGTTCTGTTCCAGTGCGCTACAGAAGACACGCCTATCATCGGAATGTTCCCACTTATCGTGGTCGCAGCCGTCGCCCACGCATTCTTAGTACTATGAGTCGTTGGTCATTGTTTTGTCTAGACTCTATAAGCCAAAGCTTCTCAACCTTTCTTGTCCGTTTGTTTAATTGAAGTTAAATGTTTTAAAATTTATTAATATTTTATTTTGTAGTTATTCTATATTATTGTGTGTTTTTATTCTGATTATTTTATATTGTTTTCGTATTCTTTTGTATTTGTTTTGTATTGTTGCTGCGTTTTCTTTAGATTTTTACATATTTTATAATGCCAAAAGTAGTCAAAGGGGAAGAAGCCAGTTTAACCTGCGAATTCTCAGAACCGGGTGTTAGCGACGCCCTGAAATCCACACCAGCTATTCCAAGAGTCACTAATGCCAGCTTTGCAACTACTGCAATGACCGCGGTGGATTTAAACACCTAGTTCAAATTTGTTAAACCATATGACGGTAGTAGGGAGACCGTAAATTCATTCATAATTAATTGCAATAATGCTTACGAATTAGCGTCGGAGTCCCAATGACAAATTTTATTTAAATATATTATCAGCCAGCTTCAAGGTAAAGTGGAAATTGCTTAATAAAATAAAAGAGTTTAAAGATTGGGAACAGCTTAAAGACTTCTTAAAAACACAATTTAGTGAACGTAAACATTATGCTCACATTATCACCGAATTAAAAGAGAGCAAGCAAAGTTCACATGACAGCGTTAACGAATTCGCACTCCGTATAGAGACCTGTCTCTCACAATTATTAACGGAAATATCCCTATGCAACACCAAAGCGAAAAAATTACCAGGTCGGGTTGCGGCCATGGAGGACCTTGCCCTCCATCGTTTCCTTATGGGGTTACACACCCGCATTTCAAATATCGTTAGGTGTAGGTCTCCAAAGACCCTTAACAAAGCCATTTTTGCCATCTCGGAAGAACGCATCCAACAAAGCCTATATAAACGAACACAGCCAGAAGCAAAGTATGAACAAAAACCTAAGCAAAATTTCGTTAAATCTTTCAATTCAAACCAACCATTCCTCAAAAATACTCACAGTATCCTAATATGAATCAACAGAGCTCGCCTAACGCTATGTTGTTATTATTATCTATGTTATCTCTTTCACGATACTCGAATTAAAATTAATATATACCATAATAATATTATATATCCAGCTCCGACAGAAATTAAGAAAATTCTTTTCGATAACCACAATATCCCAATAGCCGGTCATTTAGGTTCTGTAAGAATGTATAATAGAATAAAGCAATCGTATTACTGGAAAGGTATGGGAAGCGATATCCCCTAGTCTGTCCAAACGCCATATTCTGGCGTCTCAACTAATATGCGCATCTGTCAAACGCCATAATATGGCGTCGAGTGATAGCAAACTATTTGTAACATATATATGATATATATAACATACATAATAATAACATATATATATCTGTTATGCATAATCGGATAGCTTATTTAATAACGTTTCCATTGATATTGTTATATATATACTTAGTATACTTGCTATATACTTAGTACTTCGGACAGTTCTCGAGAGATGCGCCATATTGGCCAAAATTATCCCAACATCGAGTGGTAGAGTCATATGTAAAACAATGTAAATCATGTCAGGAAAAAAAAGCACTTAGGAAAGTCAACCGTGCTCCAATGCAGATCACCAGTACATCCACAGAACCATTCCAAAGAATATCTTTGGACATCGTCGGTCCACTTCCCGAAGCTGAACCAGCAAAATTACGTTTTATTCTCACAATACAAGACGATCTCACTAAGTTCTCCTGTGCATATCCCATCCGGAGTACCACTGCTGAAGAAACAAGTGAATGCTTACTGCATTATATATCAATTTTCGGTATTCCTAAGATGATCCTTACCGACCAAGGGACTAATTTTACTTCAGACCTAGTTAGGAAAACCTGCGAATTTCTTAAAATAAAAAACTTATGGTCTTCACCATATCATCCTCAAACCCAAGGCGCCTTAGAGCGAAGTCATTCAACCCTAAAAGAATATTTGAAATCTTACATTAATGAAGAACAGTCCAATTGGCCTCGTTATGTATACACCTCCATGCTCGCTTATAACACATCCATTCATTCCACTACACATTACACACCTCACGAGCTTATGTTCGGGAGTAAACCATTTATTCCTAATTCCATTTATAATGAATCTCTAGGGGCTACATACCCCGATTATGTCCGCATGTTACAAAATCGTCTAAAATATTGCAGAGAAAAGGCTTTAGATTTTATAAAGAAGTCAAAAGAATCCTCAAAATACTACTACGACACCCATACTCGACCAGTTAAATATAAAGCCGGTGAGTATGTCTACATAAAGAACCACTTGAGATCGCGGAAAGTACTGTCCCCTCACTGGAAAGGTCCCTATAAAGTAGTTAAGGTAAATAATAATAATAGACTTACCTTACTAATCAATCGACGCCATGTCACGCATCACTTCGATCAGGTGAAATCTGCATCTGAAGTCAGAACTAACCTGTAAAATAAAATAAAGCTAGGAAATGACTAGTGTCTTAAAAGTTAAAAAAAATACGTACCTATAAGCGCAGTCTCGCTATCTGAAAAATTGTTAATATACAATATATAGTTATTAAAGTTATTAAATATACAAAATATAGTTATAAAAAATATTAGGTTAATCAATACTTACCTTTGTGTAGTATTAATTATAGTGATTATTTACAGAACTCCAACTCGAGGTCACTCGCATCAAGATTATATTCAACCGATGACTTCGAGTGCAG